GCTCAGGCCGCTTGCTCTCGTACTTAGGGTGCTTACTCTGCTAAGGGAGTGATTTGTACTGTAATATGCATTGGACCGGCCTGAACTGTCGAAACTTCTTGCAATTAGGCTACGGTGGGCCTCGGGGTCCTTGTGGCGGTGCTTTGTATTATGCCGGATCACGCTTTCGGAATAGGCGTGTTTCTTGAGCGGGTATGCCGAGCGAAGCCGAGAATTTGAAATACATGATCCGCCAGCCGCTCTATCGCGTCGTACTCCCCCAAGCCCAGGATATAAAAGGAAAGATCACATGATTGTTTACCCCTGAGTTCACATGATCTATTACTCTGTTACAACATTGACTACCGCCCTAGGATTTGGGAGTTCGACGCGATACGAGCGGCTGGTTAAGGAGCCTGCGCTTGGCGCCACTTTACTCACGTAGTGGACTGCTTCGTCATAACCCAAACTGAAGTTCAAAACCCAGGAGATGGGTTAGGGTCCATGACATCGTCCGCTGGTTAGGGCTTCGAGCGCCTATCACCATCTCCGTGCTTGACCACCTTCAAGTTGCCTATCTGACTGCTTCACTTCCTCCATGGCGCCTACAAACAGTCATGTACCCATTCAAATTCACAACCTGACTGACGGCGAGGAGATATATGGCATAGTGAGCGTCTAGTCTCCATGCGTACCAGCGGTGGAATAGCTCTTCGCAATCGGTGTTCATTGTTCCCGATGCGCATCCCCCTGATTTCTGCTTGCAGAGGCTGTTACTCGTTCATGGAACCGCGGGACCACTTGCACCTGGAGATGCTACCATCCGTGTTGATGGCAGTCCGCAGTTTCCCCCGCAGTTGTGGCAGGTCACCGACGGTTCGTGTTATGCTGATTTTGGATTCCCGGCCATCACCTATTCTCTCTGTGAATTATATACAGGATACTTCAAAGCATTGGTACCACTGTCCCCCGGCCCCAATCATCTCGTATTCACGTATCTCGCTGAACCTTGTCCCATACCAACGCCCAGGCTACCACCTCTGGATGGATTCGTCGACTCCTCTATGAGTACTCGTATCACCGTGAACATGCTCCCCATGCTGGACAAGCCTCCACTGCACCTTGCCATAATAGTTGCCAGGGACAGCCCCATGACAGTCGATTGTCCGCCTGAGCGCCGTGGGTTCGACGACAGCTTTGAAGCCGTGAAACGGAAACTTGCGCTTCAGGTGTACACTTGGCAGGCCTACACTGCCGAACAAATGCGGCGACACCGCTTTGGCCGGAGAGCCTTCCGACTCGACGAGGTTCCCAGTTCGGAGCGGCAGCATACCCTCTCGACGCTGCCGAAGATTCACATCCTGCACAGTAAACGCTCAGTGCAGGAGTTCCGAGACAAGGACAACGCGCAACAGTATCAGGGAGCTAAACATGGCGGTGCTATGCTGGACTTCGTGACCGAAATCCTGGACTCGCCAGCTTGCCCGTCAGAGCTAAGGCATGGAACCGGCGCGCATGTAGCCTGTCTCACGCTCGATGCGCATTGGGATGCGCAGAGTAAGCTGCTCAGGGGTCACGCCGCCGTAGGGTTTGGAGGTCCCGGACCCGGCCGGAAGGTCGGTGTCATGGGATCGCACTGGATACACGCTGCGCCGCTGGACTTGGAGGAAGTCACGATGCGTTTTCTCGACACTCGTGCTACGGATGAACGGCATTGTGTGAATGATCTAGGAGAATGCGGGACAAATTGGGAGACATTGAATATTGGTAAGGATCGGGTTCCACCGCAGCGTGCCCGAATACGGCGCTCATTATTGAATTTGAAGGCAGCGGGGCATTCCTCCACGAAACTGGGTAGGTAGATCTGCTTTGATTTCGCCTGGTCAGAAACTGAGGATGCCACAGACATGTACTGAACAATCCCCACCATCCGTCCGGGATCATGTTGCGTGGGTACCGCAGAGTTTTGATCTCGCTATCCAACACTGACGTCCTTGCGTAGGTGGCTATCAAGAGTGGAATCGCGCTTTCATGACCCGCGAGGCGTATTCTTCACGGAGACGCACGCAAGGGTTCCGCCCTATCACCGCCGAAGACGACGATGTTTGCCATTGGCACCGACTCGCTGCCATCCGGTTCCGCTATCACCCGTTGTTCCACCTCCCTAGGGACCCCCAGATCCCGTGCGTCGTCGAAAACCCGAAATATCAGGGCCCCGATGGATGGCAACGCTACGAAGAAGACGAGCCGTCCTGGCAGCTCACTGACGGCGCAGTTACGCTGCTCGTGCCGGCTGGCGCCGCCTGCGTCGAGTTCCAGGTCGACGGGAGATTCAAGACCCATTTCGAGTGGCCGTATATGGATCCAGCTAGCCAGCCTCCGCCGCCGAGCAGTCTGGTATTCCCTCCAGAATATGTATCGAACCTGCTACACGTGGACGCGATGAGAGCGAAGGTGACCCTAAGCGCTATTGCGACGAATCACCGTCAGGCCGAAATTCCGGACTTCAAGAACATGTTCCAGCAGATAAGCTTGCCTGGCTTGCAGGGCGGAGTCATGAAGACGGTAGTTAGGGGCGTCGAGGCGGATGATCCGCGTCGGCATTGGATCGCTCCATTCCCAGACCGTACTCCCCATGGCAGGGCCGCTGGAATCCGGCTCGTCCGAGTCTCCGTACGTTTTATCGACATCTGCAGCAATCCACATACCGTGTTCACGCGAAAAATGGCATAGGTATTTGCTGGAGCTTTCCTCGACGGTATCCTATTCCATTACTCGGACCGTAGCTCCCAACCCTACGGGTCGACAACCAATAGCACCCCGGCGCACTTCGACCTGCAACCCGGCGAAGACTTGGCCATGCTCAATGTTCGATCGGGCGGGTGGATTGACGCCTTGCAGATCGTCACTACTTTGGGACGTAGCAGCCCATTCTATGGCGGGGGCGGCGGGGGCGTGAGGTCGATTGGTGAGGATTTCACTGGCATATCATCATCATGTTTTGTGCACCCAATGATTGATTGGGGACAGAGGCACCGCCAGGATACGTCCTTGTAGGGCTTTACGGCTCGAGTAACGACGGAGGAGGAAAACCCGGATGGGTTACTTCACTGGGTAGGTCCTCGTGGCGTACTTGTACCTTCAGTGCTGATTGCTATTATACAGGGGGATTGTATCAACGCGGATGAAGTCAGGAATCATGTGTTTGAATGGAGTGCGAAACCTTCACATTTTTATCCTGTCTAAGTATGATGAAGATATCTGGAACGTAGCATTATAGTACCCCATCTGTGCAACCACAGTGTATTCATACTCTCCTCTCGTCTTTTGAGCGCTTGTGGTTGACGGTGACAAGGATAGTACAGCCCCAAGCACTGATTCTGATCAGAAGGCTCGGTACCTTCCAAGGCTATAGCACTGACGTAATGGAGCGCGCCGCTTGAGCTTGACCGCACGGAAAGCGTACCGTCGCAACGTTCAGCGGAACCAGCAGTTCTCTTCAACACCCTCGACGCGATATACTGGGTGCTCGCTGTATCTGACAACCACGATAATATGCCACCGTCTGGAAGCGGAGATGCGCCTATCAACGTAAAGCTCCTCCTCATCGGCAACTCGTCCGTCGGGAAGAGTAGCTTTCTCTTGCGGTTCTCGGATGAACAGTGGCTGCCAGAGGAAGAGGCAAGCGCGACCATTGGAGTAGACTTCCGAGTAAGTCTCGTTATGACGAAGTCCTCGAACGATCTTTCGCGAGGCGTAATCAAGGCGTGGTCTGATTACGCTACCGCCCGATAGGTGCATAAGATGGAGGTCAAGGGCAAGAAGGTTAAACTCAGCATATGGGTGAGCCACACATCTATGGAACTTGCTTCGTCTCTCTCACGCATAGAACAGGATACAGCTGGCCAAGAACGATTCCGTACCATCACATCGTCGTACTATCGCGGAGCGCAGGGCATAATACTCAGTACGCTTAAAATGCTCATCCCTGCGCGTATTCCTAAAGAAACCCGACGTGTGGTCAGTGTACGATGTCTCAAATCGCGAGTCTTTCGACGCCTTGCCCCGGTGGTTCTCCGAGCTCGAGACGTACGTCTCGCCATCGGTCGCGAAGATCATCGTGGGCAACAAAGTCGATAAGGTACGCCACACCACACCGTTCTTCGACCGCACCGATATCGAGGCATCTTCCACGTCATCTTTCAGGAGTTCTCTCGCCAAGTGGCCACCGGCGAAGGCGCCGCTTTTGCTCAGCGGATGGATTCGTTGTTCATCGAGGCTTCTGCCAAGACCGCCGTCGGCGTCTCGGAGGCGTTCGAGGAGCTCGTGGAGCGTATTATGGACACCCCGGAGCTCTGGGCAGCCCGTGAGTCTCTCAGAATTCACAGCCCGATCGCCTGGCGAGTACTCGAGCCTGCACTGATCGTCCCCGCACAGCGAAACCGAAACCGTCCGCGGATTCCAGGACGAAACGCGCCGAGGGCGGTCAAGGGCCGAGCATGCCTGGAGGTGGCAATGTCACGCTCAGCGGGGGCGATGGAGAGTGGAGCCAGGAATCGGGAGGCTGCGCTTGCTGATCCCGCCGTTGACCAAACCGCTGCCGGTGCTTCTAGAGCCGGATTCTCTTTCTAGCTCAGTGTCGCACCGATTATGACATGCATGCATTGACGATTCACGATCCTCTTATCATACAGCGTACTTATATTATACCCCATCCGACGCTGTCTTGCTGTTTTAGTACGAATCGATACGTGGATAATCATACATTCATGGTGTATTAGGGACAGAATTCTGACGGGATTCTGGTTATACATATGATCGCGAATGGATGAAAACATTCACTATCAACTCCTAAGCCCTAGCCAGGGACCCGCATCTCCCCCGATGTAGCTCAACCAATCGTTCAACAACTGCCCGACTCCATAGCCCACGCCGCTTTCCGAAAGCACCATCAAAACGCCCGCGCCATTCTTCTTCTTCTGAGACTGCTCGGCCACTGTCGTCAGTCCCGCCAACATCGCGCCATTGCTCAACATGTTCGCTTTCCACCAGCCCTCGCTCACGCCCACGCATCTCTTCGGCTGGATCCAGACGTGCTTCAGCTTCGGGAGCATCGCCGCCGTCTCGCTCGCCCTCTGTTCGCTCGCCGTGCCCGGTCTGAAGCAGGCGGGGGCGCCCGGCACGGGGGTCCGCGATGGCTCGGAGGAGGTTCCGTCACCGCGGTCGACGGCATCGACGGGAACGTCGAGCTGCACGCGCAGGTACTCGGCCGGGTCCCCGAACCGCACGTCGGAGAGGCGGAGATGCGAGAGCGTGCTCCGGAAGGCGGAGGCCGCGAGCATGTTCCAGACGTCGCTGACGCGCTGGGTCCCGCTCATGACGTGCCAGCAGCCGATGAGGTGGATATCCGTCAGCGACGAGCAGGGTATGCGGGACGGGAAGGGTTTCTGAGAGTCGGAGGCGGTGAGGGCGGTGAGACGAGGGAAGGGGGCTGGAGAGTCGGCGACGGCGTCCCAACTGGCGTTGGTGAAGAGCGTGCGTAGGGAGGGCGCGATGATTGCCAGGAGGCCCGAAAGGGCTGCTTTGGCGTCTTGGCTCCAAGTTTCAAGTGCAAGCTCCTTGGCTTCCTCATCGGGATGGTCAACTAGATCATCGATTAGGGTCTCATCGTTGAGGTTGCTCGGGGCCGCTTCATCATCATCATCCGCGACATCCTGTGTCGGCTTAGAGCTCGATACCAGCAAGTGCTCCACCCTAGGTAATGCATGAACCGAGCGGAAGACGCCTTGCTCTCCGAGCGCGGGATCAACGGGGCGATTAGAAAGGATCGCTGTGAACGCCTTGATCTGCGCTACTCCGAAGACTGCGACGGAGCGGTATCGAACGGGGAAAGATACGTTGCGAATGCGGTGCGAGAGCAGTGAGAGCGCGCGGCCCGTCGCTCCGTCGTCGGAACAGGCGAGGGTGAAGATGATGTAGAGAACTTCGTCCGGGCAACGATCCATATCGTATGCTTTGACCAGTATCTTGTCTAGAGCAGGTACGCGTTTTGAGAGGCACGATGGGCATACCGGCTATTTATCCATCCCAGATATCCTGCACCCGCGCCGCCGCGCCGGATACACGGGAGCGGATGAGATGACGAGTGATGACGACAGGGATGATCGTGAGAGCGGATATAGAAAGGTAGTACGTTAAGAAGGTCGTGTTCGCTTCCCACTTTGAATGCCTGGGGTCACCAGACGTGTCGAAAGGGCGCCTGCTGGTCAATGAAGGGCCGGAGATCGAGCACTCTAGCGCACGTTTACGCTTTGAGAGCATAGATCAATCATCGTCGATCAACTCTGTGCGCACGACGGAGAGGACGGCGGAATCTATGTGTCGTCTACGAAGTTCGTGTCAGCTCGTGGGCCGTATGTTTACAAATACTGCGTAACGACACAAATACCGTGTCAATGAAATGTGAACAATCCGAAATGGCGGTTCAAACCTAACAAACGAAAAGAGTCCCCGACCTTCCGCCAATGCATTGCAATACTAGAGCCTCGCATTCGTCCTTGCCTTCGCCTCAACCTCGCGCCCGTGCTTGGCCCGGTGATGGGACGGAGCATGTCGAGGCCTACGAGCACATGGGATGACACGAGTCGCCCAACAAGGCGACGCGACCGGACGGGTGCATCCACGTAGAGAGGGGCTGGCGGTCCATGAGGCGCCATTTGAGGGTCGATTGGACTTGGGGACAGAAGTTTCTGCACCCTGCGCAAAAAGATCACGATCAGTGCTGTGCAGGTGTGGGGTGGACATGGGGGAGAAACCCAAAATGTACCCGATGATCCCATAAGAGTACTCAACCTTTTGAGACGGTAACCATGCGTTTTCAGGCAGGCTCCTTAACCAGCCGCTCGTATCGCGTCGAACTCCCAAATCCTAGGGCGGTAGTCAATGTTGTAACAGAGTAATAGATCATGTGAACTCAGGGGTAAACAATCATGTGATCTTTCCTTTTATATCCTGGGCTTGGGGGAGTACGACGCGATAGAGCGGCTGGCGGATCATGTATTTCAAATTCTCGGCTTCGCTCGGCATACCTGCTCAAGAACGAGCATGAGGTTGGAAGAAAGTATGGTGGCTGTGCCATAGATCAAGCCCGTTGTGGGTGCTACTACTGGGGTCCTACCACGTCCACCAAAGCGGCGTATACTGACTGTGTCTCTAGCAGCACGCGTCAAGGAAGTCCCGAGGTCGTCGAAGTCCTCCTTGGGGATGTTCTGCGCCTTGCTGATCCGGGAGGAGAGCTCATTCAGTGCGGAGAGGACCGCACTCGCGTCGA